TGTTATGTAAAAATGACAAAGTGTTTTTCTTTTCTGATTACAGTTTGGTCATCTCTTATAAAGGTAGACTTAAAAATAATGTGGATAATATTATATCTTTTAAACTCATGGGGTGGCCTGAAAGTATCTATAAGCAAGTTTCAAATTCTGTTCAGTTTAGTACTTTATGTTTTAATTTGAAGCGGTTCTTTTCTGTCACAAAATTAAGAAATTTAGGAAAATAATACAGAAATAAAATCAAAGGATAAAATGCCTAACATGTTTTTAAATCCTACCTACGTTTTCTTCTCACAGGTCATCATGAAAACTCAATTCCGTGATCCAGACGGCATCCTCAACCACCTCCAGAACGTCACGTCAGAAGAGTATCAACATATCTTCTATCTCCTTTTAGAAGCAGCTGAAGCCTTCGATCTATGCATGATCAAAAGAAACAACACAGTTACAGCCACGCAAAAAGAAGCCTTAATCCATCGCGCTAAGACCCCTATTTCCTTGCTCGCCCAAACAAGAATATTTTTAAGGAGATATTTTAAAACTATGCTTGTGGATATAATTCCTGACATGGATATACCTAAAATTCTCCACCAATACCTACTTTTTAACTGTCGTTAAAAAAGAGGTTTAATATTTTAAGGTTTCATTCAAGGCTGCAAAGAGGAATTCTTTTGCCTCATCCCTTTTGACAGATAGTTTTTGGTGTTGCCAGTATATTTTGTCTCCCGGTTTTGTGGGTGATTTTGATTGTTGTCAGGTTTTGATGAGTTGGATAATGGCACGATGTTTTTTGAGAAGAAGTGAAATGTTGAGTTCATAAGTGGGCTAGTACTATTAATATGTTGACAGTACATTAGAGTTTGGTATAATAATGTGCTCCTATTTTTGTATACTTAGTTCTTTGTGGTAAACTTGTATTTTTGTATCTCAAGTGAAGAAATCACATTTTTGTCGAACTTAGATTTTAAGTTTAATCATTGTACTTCTATTTAATTATTTTATTTGTTTTACACATAATCCATATGTATTTGAAAGAAGAAGAAAGAAGGAAAGCAAAACATTTTTATAATTACTGAGCAAAATATTTCTCTAGAATTTTTAGAACGAGAATACGATATATTTTCTTCAAAAAAGATTTCCTATTTAACAACAAAAGAATTTAAAGAAATTGAACATATACACATAATTGATTTATGTTTCATATTTTTTGTACACCATCGCACGCACAGAATTAAATTTTTTGGTATTATTTGTGGAGTAATAATAATAAATAATAATAATAATATTCTTTATTGTACACCAGATAAACACAAATGACAACAAAAAAATTAATATAGTGCACAATGGGCGGTCATATCGCACAAAGCGATCTTTTACAGACAACCTTTGGATGGAGCTGTAATAGGAGTCAGGTATGGGTCGTCTAGTGTACTATTTAATGACTAGTGAGTCACAGGGAGTAGTGATAAAAAACATATTTCTTTTAAGGGTTTTAAACTTATGAGATACCGCTATAATGTAAATTAAAGTTTCTAGATCAAAGAATATTTTCTATTATCAAGTCATAAATCCGTCAACTTTTGCACGATCTCATGAGTGAAATTCTTTTTGGGTTTCGTGCGTCCATTTATAAATAAAGTTTTAGTATAATATATGTATATTATTTTATTAAAGCTATCGCAAGTCACCATGTATTGTAGTCTGATTTCTGTACTATGTGATATTTTGTGATATATTTTAATTTTAAGACTTTACGCTTGTAATGTCAGGATTACAAGCAATATCTATGTGACGATTATTTTATAATTAAGTCAAATAAATGTGTGAAAATAATACATTAGTCGTTTATTTACTCTTTATTTGGGTTTAAAGGTAAAGTATACAGCGTGTTGCGTTCGTCGCGCACCTCCAAGAGGCGTCAGATCATCACAGACAGGCCCTACTATAGCCGATGCTTGCCAGGATTGCAAGCGAGCCTATCCATATACTGTAGGCACCATGGCCGTGTTGTAGGCAGAAACATGGAACACGGTCGTTGTTAATCATTAAGAAACACGAACATTTCTCCTCCACAAAACTAAGGGGTAGGTAGAAGCATATTAATGTCAATGCAATACGAACTTTCACTAGTTATGTTCTGATGCCATGCAGTACCTAGGTATATTCTAGAGTTCCTGTTATTACAATTTTTTTAATAAACTGAAAATTTTTCTCAAATATACTTTAATTTTTCAGAATTTAGAACTCAGGATTTATAAAATTTTGCATTTATTTATAACTAGCTTTTGCCCGCGACTTCGTCCGCGTGGAATAGTAACTTCCGGCAGAAAAGTATAGATAGCTGTGCCCGCGACTCCGTCAGCGTGTAACTCCTTGTGTATTAAGTTAATGTATTGGTAATATTTATTATTATTATTTATATTGGTAGTATTGTTTAGATCACGTTCACATGTGGCTTAATCCTTTATAAGACATAGAACTTAAAAATATTTATTGGTTTTAAACTTTATTATAATGTGTTAAGGTTCAAATTCTGGTGGCAATATAAGTACCACTGCCTTATAAAGGTAAGGTAAAGGTACCTACAGAACGAAAATACTTCAATGCAAAGCTTCCGGGTAAACTACATTGAAAGTTGACCCGTCCGGCACATAACGTAACGTGAACATAAAGATTTTTAGAACTGCTAACATGGGAAAGAGCAACATACAACTGACCATGCGAGAAACAACTGACACTGAGATCTACTCCAGCAACACGTAAAGTCTGCCCTTGAGCCTTGTTAATCGTCATTGCATAACACACCGATACTGGGAATTGCGTCCTTTTAAATTGGAATGGAAAATTATTTGGTATTAAGAGTATTTTGGGAATAAAGACGGTTTCTCCTGCACCGCAACCTGTTAAAATTTGAGCCTCGATTATATTTTGTTGCAACTAGGTTACTTTTAGTCGAGTTCCATTGCAAAGTTGTGGTGGTCTTAAATTTCGGAGCAGAATAGTCGGAATGCCAATTTTTAAACAAATTTCAGGAGAGGGAAGTCTGGGCATATTTAAAGAATTTAAAAATTCTATCGGGTAATTAGTGGCTTCTTGTTCATCGACCATTCTATTTATTGATCTATAAACTTTGCTTTCACCTGTATATTCGGCAGTATTATGTTATTGATCTGAGATGCCTGGTCATTGCGAAGAGTTAAAATAGTTAGTCGAGGAATATTTTTTATATAATTTTAAGGAGAATATTTCCGTCATACATGATTTCTATGTAGCTTTAACCTATAAGCCTGCACACGCGACGGAAGCTTAAAAAATGGAGTAACTTCTCCCGTTTTCCCAATATTTCCCTTCAATGCTCTGCTCCTATTGATCGTAGCGTAATGAAAAGTATACTATATAACCTGCCTAAGAGTATGAAGAATAATTGTGACAAAATTTGTTAAAATCCGTCGAGTAGTTTTTGTTTCCATAACGAACATACAGACAGACAGACAGACAGACAAACATTTTACTGATTTCATTTTTGACATCAGTAGCGATCCCTAACCACCCCTTGATAATTATTTTTTAAATATATTTTATGTACAGAATTGACCTCTCTACAGATTTATTATAAACTCTCTACAGATATATTATATTTTTATCTCTACCTCATTATAATCACCTCTCTACCTCATTACTAACTCATTATTTTACGTAAATACAAAGAAAATAACAAAATATGACTTAACACGTTCGCGGACGCGCCGGTTATGACAGTCATTAGGAACTTGCGCAGAATGACGCGCCGGCTATACCCTTCGATATTTTTTTGTGCTCTAGAAGCACAACTGCTTTAGCAGACGAATTTCCATACTGCTACCATATAGTTCATCATCTAGTGCCCCCAAATTAAATTATTCGAATTGCTAGGTGTCACGTAACATGTCTTTTTACCGCTTCCAACGTACTACTACTTGGAACATTTGTG